AATGCACTCCTGAGGCTAGAGGCTCTCCTGGAGGCCGTCGGTCGAAGAAGGGAGGGCTGTCAATGCCAGTTTCCCCGTCGGAGCCGGAATCATTTCCTTGGAGCCTTTGCCCATTTTGGGATTCCTGGGCCATCTTAGAGCCATCGTGAGGTCTCAAAACGAAGTCGGAAGCGAACCGGCGAGAAAGGAAACAATTGTCAATTCCATGTCTTGGGGGGACTATTGCCTCTCGGGTCTTCTTGAGAGCGTGCTGGAGGCTATGTTGAGCGATCTTTGGTTCTCGTGACATGTGATCGGGGCCACCTTGAGATATCTGACGCCATCTTGACCCAAAAGCCGCCATCCCATCTTGCCCGATGTTCTCAACGCCGTCGTTGCCTATGCATGCCCGACGTCGCCGATGCATCGGAGATTCGGCGTTATCCTCCGAGCCTCTCTACTCGGACCCCGTTTGGGAGGCGCTAGGACGATCTGTGCACCCCCTGGAACGCTCTCGGCAAGGCGCGGATGCAGGAGGGCACCCCGACCTCCAAGATCCTGGAAACGTCGGGCGACGACGCGAGGTCAGCATATCCTGGAGCGCAACAAAAACTTCCAAGTGCCGGGACGGAAAGCATGGGCTCAAATCGGGGGTCCAGAAACGATGCAGTGACATAGGCAGGGAAGCACCTCCAAGAGCCGACGACACTCGAGCCTCGTGGCGGGGGAACCCCCGTCGGCATCGCTGCCCCTGCCGCCGCCGCAACCGCCAGCCCCCGAGAGGGGCCCCCCGCCGCCGCCTGCGAGGCCGCCGCACCTCCGCGTGGACCTCGAGCTGCGCGCCGCCGGAGAGATCTGCCCAGATGTGGCGCTCCAGAAAAGGGCGATGCCTGGGAGGGTCGAAGGAGTCGCCACTTCCTCCTCGCGTGAAGGCCGCAGAAGAGCGGCGGAAGGTCGTCGGAAGTGAAGCGAGGCCGCCTCCGCCGGCGGAGAGCTGGCGGAAGGCGGCGGAAGCAACAAGCTACCTTTGAGGGTTTCAGCGAGGGGTTGCGAGGGCTGCCGAAACGGGGCCCTGCAGGGCGCCTGAAGGGGCCTTTGAGGGCCTCAAAGGGCGCCTATGGGGCTTGCACCTTTCTCTCCCCCCTCAATTGTCGCCCTCCCATCAAGCGACGCCCAATATGGGGCGGCCTCCTCACACGCGCGCTCTCGGCCAGGAGAGCGTTGTGTTATCCCCTGGCGATAACGGGCGTGACCAGGGGGGTGGAGGGGGCGGGTCTCAAGGCCAACAATGCATCGACCCCCATTCGTCCATTGATCGCTGAGAGGGGCCGATAGCCCGAACTTGCCCAAGAACATGCGGGGCCTATCGCCGATCTATCGGCGATGCACCGCCGATTCTAGGTCGATGCGTCCCCCCATGTGCCAGTCCCCCCCTATCGTTGCTCCTCAGACGGGGTGCAGGGGGCCGGTCACGTCACGATTCGCGCTGGCGCCGCCGGGGAATGCCCAGGAATAGTTCATTCCCAGACGGTGCCCGCGCGAATTTTGACGTGACCAGGGGGAGGAGGGGAGGGGCTGGTCGACGGGCGGCACCGCGAATGATAAGAAACGGAGTCCTGACCTATTAGCCAAAAGTCCCCACAACGGTGTGATGACCACACCGTCGGGTGAGTCAATGGGGATTTGGTGTGCGCACGGTTTTGGGGGAATCGGGGCGTTCTCTCGGGATGTCTCGGGCGGCCTCGGCCTCCGAGTTTCCAAAACCATGCGGTGACGGACCGTGCGGTAAGGTCTTTTCGGATTTCGAGGTCACCGCACGGTCTGTCACCGCACCGTGTCGGACCCCCCAGATTTGAGCCCAGAAATTCCGTCCCGGCCCTGGGAGGTGTTCGCGCTTCGGGATGTGCTGACCTCGCGTAGGCGTCTGAGGCTTCCAGACCTCTTCGTAGGTTCTTGGAGGTGCTCCTGGCTCGGGGTGCTTTCCCTGCAGTGGCGCCCAGCCGAGCGCGCTCGGAGGAGGTGCGCGAGCCACCCCCGAACGGCCGTCGGAGACCCGAGCTATGATCCGAGAGCCGGGTCCCCTTGCGTCGTGACGGTGCATCGTCCTGTCTGCCGTTTGCGGCCTCCAGGGAGCCCTCGCCGGGCCCCCGGGCCGTCTAAGAACGTCTCAGGGTGAAACGCCCGCCCCTGGCGCCCGGACCGCGCTGAGCTATGAAAGTTGTAGCCTCCCCAGGGCTTATCGCGAGCCCTCGAGAGCCCGTCTCCAGACGAACACAAATTGTCGCGGCGTGGCGAGGCGGGAGGGGTTGACCTTGCGTAATTCGCACGCTCCTGTAAATCGGATGGGTATTGAACTTTTTGCATGTGCGTATGATTAGAACACATATAGGTTAAGCCACGGCCCGAGCCTCCATGTGAGGTCCGCGTAGTCGTCTCTCGCGAATTCACCTCAACGTTTTGGTGGATGCCAGCAAAAAGCGGTTGTGCATAGTTCACAAGTGGAGTTACATGGTGCAGCCAGTTCGAAACCGCTTTCTCTCAGGCCGAGTCCAATGATGGCATGATCATATACAAGCGCATGCACGTGCAATGCATTTCTCCATATCCAATGCTCGCCCGTGTACGCGTTAGCGCACACTTGCATACATATGCTTGTGTAAAGGCAGCCTTACGTATACCAGCATATAGAACGTGTATAGTTACGTGTCTATGCATGTGCATATATGTCGGCGGTGCCCCGTGGCACGAACCCCCCCCCAGTACTACCGGGGGGGTTCGTGCAGGCCGCACTGGGTGCCGCCGACGGCTCAGACCCCCCCCCCGGTTCCTTTACCGGGGGGGTTCGTGCACGCGCCGCTTTGGGGGGGGCTTCGACCTGGACCCCCCCCCCGTGGGGGTGGGGGGGTGAGTAGGGGGTGGGGGTGGGGCGGGGGTGCGGGTGGGGTGGGGGGTTCTTTGTGGAGGTGTGGCGTCTTGGCACCCTTGGGGTCCAGTCGAGCCGTCTTGGGGCTGCAACTCCCGGGTGGGCCACCTGCCCCGGACGACGTTCCGAGCCTCGGGAGAGGTCGACGGAACGGCCGCGTACAGAAGAGCGGTGTCGCCTTGTTCCGGCACGTCTTGGGGGCGGTCACGCATCCGGGTGGAGGTTCGTGCATACCGGGGGGGTTGGTCGTGCTTACCGGGGGGGTTCGTGCCGGCTACCCGGGGGTTTCGTGCTTACCGGGGGGGTTCGTGCCGGCTCGCACCGGCGGTGCCGCCGGCTCGAAACCCCCAGGATGGAGTTTACCGGGGGGGGGGTCGCTCCCCACCGGGCACCGCCGACATATATCCATATCCAGACGTAGTTGCATCACACGCATGTTCGCATGCATGTGCAAGTAGCCCACTTACCCATATCGACCAACACACTTACATTAAGATGCACGGATGGTAGTCGTCATACATACGCGGCCCGAAAGATGTTCCTCTTGAGCGCGAGGTGGCGGAAGCGCCGTGCTGTTCAAGTGAATGGATGTCTGTTGCGGTCGTTTGGAACCGGGGCGTGTCACATGTGATGGGAGGAGAAGCGGGAGTTGGCCGGGCCCGTTGTGGCGTTCCAGCAACCGTGCGTTATGGGAGGAGTTTGTGTGATGGCCAGGCCCGCTGTGGCGCTCGAGCACCCACATGTTATGGGAGGGGTTGGGGGAGGTGGCTTGGCCCGCTGTGTCGCTCGAGCTTCCGACCTTGACACTTTGCTTGTCTTCGTCCTCCTCGTCCTCCCTCCTCTTCCTCCTCCTCCTCGTCTTCCTTTTCCTACTCTTCCTCCTCCCCGCTCCCTCCTCCCGCCTTCTACCCCCTCCTGCCTCCTCCCTCCGCCTCCCTCCTTCCTCCTCCTCTTCCTCCTCTTTCCTCCTCTTCCCCCTCTCCCTCCTCCCTCTGTTGTCTTTGTGTATCCCCCTCCGGCCTCCGTCATTCTCTCCCTTGCTCTCTTCTCTCCTTGCGTCCTCCCTCCTCCCTTCTCTTCACCCTGGGAAAACCCTTCCCCCGAAGAGTAATAGCATGGGCCTGACGTGCATAGCATAATGCCTCACGTGCTGTGCCCCGTGGATCCAGTTCCTCCTGTGTCCGGGAAATGCATTATTACATTTAATTTATTACAGGCAAATATATGCGCCCATTCGTTTCTCACACGAGAAATTGGACCCGCGCAGCACACAACTAGGATCCACAACGCTGTTACACTCCCAGAGCTGGATCCAATTGGATCCATTGGTGTTACCATACTTTAGAAGTAAGAGAAGAAACAACATTCGGCCGACTTATGCTTACACATAAGTTTGCACACACAAAAAATATGTGTATATATGTGCGCATGTGTCTGTACACGTCAATGGAACTGTTTTGCACATGGGCGATGATTGGCGTGATCGGCCCTGGCCCCTTTCCCACCTCCCCCAGATCACTTTACGGCGGTCGTCCCACGGCCACGGCGACCACAGGCGTCCTGTAGCACTCGTTGGCTTCTGTGGCATTTGCTGGCATGCTGTGGTGGTCGCATGCATGTTGCGGCATTTGCGAGCTAACGCGGCGTTCACGCGTTTGTGGTGCTTCCCTGGATGCAGTGTTGCCTTGTTTGTTGTTCAGAGGCATTGGTGTGGCCCACGTAGCACGGCGCTCGTGGCTGCCATCACTATAGTGTACCTAGGCAGAACGCACGCGCTGTGGTGCTCACAGCCGCTGTGGTGTACGCAGGCATTGCGGGCCAAAAACCCACGGTGTGCCTTGTGTCAAGCAAATCATAACCACGCCCACCACGATTTTCTGGAAGTTGGGCCCCGTCGGGACCTAGGAGGGTGTACACACGCTGCGTTGTGAGTGCGGGCGTCGTGGTGGTCGCAGGCGACAGGCGCTGCGGAGCACATGGCTGCCGCGATTGCACAACCATCGTGTTTGCACAGACCATTTCGTGCACGCAGGCACTCGCAAGCGGGGCTCGGCACAGCTCGAGGAAAAACCGATGGAACAGAAGCAGGGGGAAGAGAAAGGGAGATGGTTAGAAGACGCGGAGGGGTTTCCGAAGCCATTCTGGTTCGGATGCGTTTTGGGTCCGATGTGGGTCGGAGTTCGGCATGCCTTGCTGGCGGCCGCGCTGGTGAGCGTACTGGTGGCCGCCGCAAGCATGATTGAGCCCCTCCTCGGAAACCGGCAGCCATACAATGACCTCCTTCTTTGGAGCCGCTTGTAAATCCTACCCTGCGGATCTGAATCACGCTGGGATGCCTCACGCCCCCACAGTGGTCCACCCGGCTGCAGACATCTTCCGGTTCTGACCCCCCCCCTTGCGGCTCGGAAATCTACCTGCTGGGATCGGGTCTCGTTGCTTTGGCTGGGCGCGGCCCAGAGAGGGGCCCCGGGTGGTGCCGCGGCGAGGGTCCAGAGGCCAGGCTCGGGCGGACTGCCCTGGGTGCCGTGGACCGCGCCCCGTGTTTCGGGCCCCCGAGAGGGGCCTTCGCAGGGCGGCCTGCCTCACGGAGCCGTGCGCGGAGAAGGGGCTTCAAGCAGTGCTTGCTGTCACGCGGTTGTCATTTCCCTATGTGCACGCACTGGCTTGGGCATGGAATATCGCAGAGCAGAGTCGCGGCCTTCACACACAGACAGTAAAACAAATACACACAAGCACACACCTATATGTATACGCGGTCGTATGGTTTGATATGTGTATATATATATACATAGAGAGAGAGAGAGAGAGAGAGACACAACACACACGTAATGTATCATTTCTATGTGTGTTGCCTGTCTGCAAATGTATGTACATGTGTTGCGGGGTCCTTGGTCAGACTGTCCTGACATGCCTGGGAGGCGGGCGAGGGTGACGGGGGGCGGGCGAGCGTGTGGGCGGGCGGGCGGGCGGGGCGCGCGGGCGGGCACGCGAGCGGACGCGCGCGTTAGCGGGCGGGCGGACGTGCGGGCGGGCGGGCAAGAGCCCAGGCGGGTGCGCGCGGGCGGGCAAGAACCCGCTCGGGTTTTCGTGCCGTTCCGTAGATTTCTGTCGTTGAGCCGGTTCGTGGCCAAGGCCCGTTGTGGCCGGAAAAACCTCACCGTTACTTATCATGCCTTCCTTACTGTAGCAGAATGAATGTATCTACTCCATGCTCGAGCGGCTGCGTCCGCATGGCGACATTGTGTCCATGCCGGCGCATCGCTTGCAGCTTCGTGGTGCCATAGCGAGCCTCACAAAAGGCCTAAGTGGGAGGTTTCGCATGGCGCCGCCTCACTCTCCTCGGGACATTCGGTTTCGATGCGCTCGTATTTGTTTCGCCCGCTTTTGTTTCATCCGCTTGAGTGTTGCCTGCTTATGTTTCTTCCGCTTTTGCTTCGCCCGCTTTTGAACTGGGTGAATTACAACCGGATGGTTTCCAACCAGGCGAAGTCAAAACTGTATGAATGCACACCAGGCGAATCAAAAATCGATGACTGTAAAATGTGCAAAGTACGATTGGACGAAATTTAACCAGGCGGGTTAAAACCGGATGAATTTGAACCGTGCGAGTAAACATTGAATGCATCAAACCGGGCGAACTAAACCCGGGTGAATTTACACCGGGCGAATAACAACCAGATGAACATGAACTGGGCGAGTAAAAATTGGATGAAAATGAACCAGGCAAATCAAAACCGTACGAATTTTGACGGGGCGAATTGCAACCTGACGTAATGAGTCCCGAGGGTGATTTGGCAGGGCGAATGAAAAACAGGCGAGAAGCCTTGATGAATGTAAACCGGGCGAGCTTCAAGCGGATGGATGAAATTTGGGCGGTTTTGAACATAATGAAAATAACAAGGGTGAAACTAAACGGCTGAATATAAACGGGTGAATCTAAACGGTTGAACATATATTTGTGCGAAACAAAACAGAATCTTCTTGGGAGCATTTGGGGGATCTCTTGGGGCCCTCTTAGGGCCTCTTGGCGTCCTCTTGGGGCACTCTTGGAAGCCTTGGGGGCCATCTTTGAGGAGGTCGATCAAAGAAGGAAGGGGGGCTCAATGAGGCCCCTCCCCCTACAGGAGGCCAAAATTGGCCCACAACCTATGGAAAATCGATATCATGTGCCTTCTCGCCGGTGCCTTCCTGGGCGCTCCAATCGGTCGCGGGTCGCCCCATCCAGGTCCAGGGGAGGGGCATGGGGGGATGCGTAAAACGCCTCTCGAAGGGGAAGAGGGAAGATGGAAGCGGAAACGCCCTAAGCCACTCACGCTCAGAGGGGTGGCAGGATTTCGCCCTCGTATGCACACAGGGTCGCTACATGTGTTCCTTCCTGGAACCTTGATTTTCATGACGTTGTTTTCTCAAGACGTCGGACGCCGTGGCACCGCAAGCTCTGGCCACACATTTTCTCAAGACGTCGGACGCCGTGGCACCGCAAGCTCTGGCCACACACTGTCCCGGGCTCTGGGCCCGTGCAAAGAAATTCCCGGCCCGACGCCTAGGCCCCAGGCCCTCTGGGGCTGCGCGGCAGCCCTGGGCTCAAGCTGGGCTCGGCCACGGACGGAGGTGGCGTGTGGCTGCGGGCATCCGGCCTCCTGCTCGAGCGCGCGCCGCCGGTGGCCGGCTTCCTGACGCAGCCGGCCGCGCCCCCCTCGCGCCAAGCCCGGGTGCCCACTGCCCGGGAGCGGGCCGAGCTGCGGCAGCAGGCCCCAGGCGGGCCAGCTCTGCTGGCGGAGAGCCTGCCGGCGCAGCTGCCGCCACAGCGCGAGAGGCTTGCCGCCGCTGCTCGGCCCGAGGCCAGAGGGGGGAGAGTACCCTTTGTGGAGGACGACGGGTGGAGAGGAAGCATGTTCGCAAATGATTTCAAGATGCGAAAACACTGCTTACGCATGTTTTAAACATGTGAGACACATGCTTAAAACATGTTTAGAACATTATTCCAACACTTTAAACACATGCTGTGTTCAATGATAGGACTGTTAGGGCGTCCATTGTCGTGGCATCGACAACAATACCGCTGCCTCGTCATCGCCTGTTTGGGGCCTCCTGGGAGGCCCTCGTGGCCACCGCTGGATTCGCCTCGAAATGCTGGTTAGAACGCACTCCGGGCGAGGCTTGGGGAGCAGCGGTATCGCTACGAGAGTGTTTTTTACCCTTTGAGCCACAACGCGCGTTATGCCCTCTACCCTCCCCCGCCTCGCACCCCCCCATCCATAACGTAACGTTCCCCCGCCCTCAGTGCGTCTGGCACCAGTCGGGGGGGGGGGGGGGCGCTACGTGATGCCCCCTCCCGTCCCCCACCCTCCCTCCCCCCCCATAACGCCCGTTGCGGCCGCGAATAACATGATGTGCTCCCATCTTCTGGTCTCGCCAGAGGCGGGCTCGGAGGGGAGCAGGGGCGCGACGGCGCAGCAGCAGCAGCCTCCAGAGAGGGCGCCCGCCAGCGCCGTCGCCACCGGAGGGGTGGGGGTGCTGGCCCACATGCGGCTGGGCGTAAGAGTGACCCTTCCCCGGGGTGACCTTTGGTGCGGGCTCTCCAGGGGAGTACTTATGAGGAAAAACCTGGAGGCCTCGCGCGGCGCGCAATGGTTGTATTATCTAGTGTCCACACGTCAGCTCCGCAAGCTATGGGTCGACGCTCGCGTAGCGATGCTCCGGCGTCAGTCCGACGTAAATCCGACGCAATTCCGATGTAGTCCGACGTGAACCCGACGTAATGCCGACGTGGACCCGTTGTAAATCGGATCTCAAGTTGCCGCGCGAGGCCTCCAGGAATGTTTTCATAAGATTGTCCCATCACTGGACTGCGCGCTTGGACGTGGCCCCCCCATCGCGGCCCTCTACAGCCGCTCACCAGATGCCACCCTTGCCTAGACTCATTCTTGCGCGCAGCCGACACATCGGAGCGAAAGGCGTTGGCCAGATACCACACGGGCCGGCCAGTGACCAGGCCTTCCTCGGCCTCCGCGTGTGGTCCGCCGTGCCAGTCGCCGCGCGCCGCGGCGAGCAGGGGCCGGCGCTCGTGCTCCTGCTGGAGCCGAACACGGGCTGGGCGGCCAAGAACGGCAACAAGTGGCGCCACTGGGCCGTGTTCGCTTCCGGCGTGGCCAGCCCCTTCCGGAAGATACGCGGCTACAAGGATGTGCTCTCGTGGCATGCGGACATGCCTGCGGCCGTGCACGCGGCGTGGACCGAGGGGCAGGACGATTGGGCCTGCATCACGTTCGGAGTGAGAGTCAACGCCAGCACAGGCCCAGACATTGCGAACCTGACGAGTTGCCACCGGCCATCCCGATTGCCGTCTGCGCAGAAGCCGAACAACATCACCCTGTGCTATTGCGAGGCACCTTACATAAATCCGCTGGTTCCAGGGGCAAACGGTTTCTACAGCATGGCGCAGAACATGCTGTACCATTTGCGCCACGGCGTCAACCAAGTGATCGTGTACCTGAATCTTAAGAACCGGGATCTTGCTTTTAGGATGTTGGCGCCTTTCGTGTCGCGCGGTGTATGCTCAGTGGTGCTCGTGGACACGCAGTACAACTATCACGAGCGCAATCAGAACGATTGTCTGAACAGACTGAAGGGCCGGACGAAGCTTTACAGAGACATCGATTTTGACGAGTTCCTTTTTGCCTCTCGCTGGTACGGTGACCCGCGCTGGCATGTCGGGGCGTCTCTGGCAGATGAGCTACAACCGCTGATCGATTCCGATTCGTACATGGCGCTGCCTCTGCGGTCTTACCACTGGGTGAAGCCGCTTGACACCCTGCATCACTTGCTGACAGACACGCAATACCACTTGAACTTTCAGGAGCAAAAGAAGGTCCTTTCAAAGCCCGATTATGTCGCCCATGACTGGATCCATCAAATCCACCGCTGCTACAAGAACAGCACGCACTTTTCCGAAAGGTGCTCTCCGTTTCCGGCCTACACTCATGATCTAGTTGCTTGCGGCAAACACCGCCACCGAACCAGCGCAACATCGAAATGCACGCATGATGATTATGTACGTGTTTCTCCCGAGTAGGCTCTGTAGCAGTATCTTGAGATCGCGCGCTACGGGCGTACAGCGTTGCACGGTCGCACCAGTGCTCGATTGTTGGGCTGCTTCTTTGGGGGCGCTCGAAGGCTTACGGAGAGCTTCTTTGGGGCGTGGTGGCTTGGAGGCCTCTTGTCGGTTTCCCGGAGTCGTCTGAGGTGCTATGTTCTTATTGGTTTTGTTGAGGCCGTCCTGCAGGGGGCTTCTTCGGGCTCTGTAGCGCCGCCTTAGGACTCCAAAGTATGGTCTGATGCAACCGTATGCTGACAGCCTTTCAAACCAAAACACAATATCTGAACATGCCGGGTGCTTACATGCTGTTGGCTTCCATGGGCTTTGCCGGAGGGCTCCTTGTGCGCATGGCTTTTTTGCAGTCTCCTGGGGGAGTCTTCGGGCTTTCCGATTTTCCTGGGGCCATCTTGGCATCATCTTGGAACATGTTGCGAGAGACTTGGGAAGATATTGGGCAGTCTTGAAGCCGTCCTGGGGCCCAGACGAGCGTCAGCGAGCAAGTCGCAGGGGCGGGTTTCTAGGGGGCACACGGCGAAAAGGAGCCAGGGGTTGGAAAGGACGGTACAGACTCACTGAACAGGGGCCGCGGCATTTCCAACATTCTGCGGGCCGGTTTTCCAGACATGACTGCTGACAGGGGGCCACCCTTGTAGACCATACGGTAGGATCGCGCCGCGACGAGGCGGGGGCGGCCCCAGCGCGGGCGTTCCAGGTGGAATGCAGCCAGTGGCCCAAAATCTGACGGCACGACATTGGACGATCGAGCCACGATCGCTCAGGGCTGGACAACCATGCGGTGCCAGTCGGCCATGCGGTGTCAGTGTCCAGCGCGCAAGTCGAGACGACACGAGTCTGCCGTTCTCCCTAGATCCAGGCCTTCAGAATTAACCCAGAATAGGCGGGTTTGGAGGATCGATCGCGCCGCATTGCCAATGCATCGACGATCTTCTCCATCCCGCAGTTGCCGATGCATCGGCGATGCTGCGCGATCCTCCGACCCTGTCGACCCACACGTCCGATGTCTTGCTTTTGATCGAGACATGGGCCTAGGGACCTCCGGACCCTTCCCGCGGGACTAGCTTTTAGTCCCGGTTGACAGTCCCGGGGCCCGAAATTGGCCCCCCGCGGGGGAAAATCTCCCGATCTTTGAGCGCTCCAGCCCCATGTAAGAGGCATCCGTTGAAGCGGACGCCCTGCCGGCATTCTGATGCCTTCGTACCCGTGCCAAAGGGGCCACGGCAGCGGAGAACTTGAAGCGCGGCATTCTTCAGCTCCGCTACGCTCACATCAGGCCAACGATGAGCGAGTCGGACATCCAGACCGGAGTCAAGAGCCCATGGTCCGTGGGCTGCCCCTAAGGTCGCCAAGGATGAAAGGAGGCCTGAGGGAAACGGGTCGTGGTTCACAGTTTTTAGTACCGCGCGGCCTTGCGGCACTGTCATGAAAAGCTTGTCCCGGTGAAAATCCTCATGATCCAGACCCCGTTTCCTGAGGGTCTAGGTCTCCTAGATGGGGTCCGAGTAGATGGGGTCGAAGGGTCGCGCCGCATCGTGGAGCCCGATTTTCCCCAAGCCAGCATCGCAGATGCGTCGCAGATGTCGCCCGATATTCGACCCCATCTACTCGGATCCCGAGGAGGCCTCAAAAGGACCCGTTTCTTTCGTATCAGAAGTAAAAGGTCAGGGGTGGTCCTAGGCAGGGATTGGTGGCAAATGTACACTGCCAAGGGGATCGATCTCCTATGGACCTCGGGACCCAGACATCCAGGGGATTGTGTATTTTGCATGCGGCGTCGTTTCTCGATTGCGGTTTCCAGAGCAGTTTTGTCTGGCCGCAGGACGATCGAACATGGATGCCCGACAAAAAATCCATGGGGGACGGTTTCGGGATCTTTGTGGGCCGCGACTGGAAAAACACACCTTCGGATGTCCGGGCACAAAGAAAATAAACAATCAGAATTGAGTGGCTGTTTGTGGAGGGCCCCTAGACTAGAACGCACCGACCTCGACATGAGCACATTGGTTGCTTTGGTTGTTGTGGCTGTGGTCGATTTGGTCGTCTTGGATGCCCCACATCGACCACAACCAGTACTCAGCTGGTTTCGGTGTTCTGACGAGTGGTGGCATGCACAGAATATGCCCGAGGGCATATCCTCAATGTGCTTGTGGTCGCTTGCTGTCCCGCAGCAGGATGGACACGGTGGATATAGACATGATCCAGGGTTGCCCCCCCAAATGCCAATAGGATTGATTTCCTCCCCCACCGCTAGATGGGTACGACCGTGATCCTCGCGAAGGCCTCGCGAATGGGATCGTCCCCCCCTCCGTGGTCGTGGCCCTGTGTGCGTGGCGTGGTGGAGGGTGGACGACGGTCCGCTGCTTTCGCCGAGAGCTCCGAGACCAAGGTCGCAGGGCTTCGCTCCCCCACCCCCTTCGGTCGTGGCCCTGTGGGCGCGGCGTGGTGGAGGGGGGGTGCTGGTGCCCCCGCCCCTCCCCCTGTGGGTGTCGGGTGTGCTGCGGTGCAGTCGTCGTCGTCGTCGTCGTCGTCGTCGTCGTCGTCGTCGTCGTCGTCGGTTGTCGTCGTCGTCGTCGTACCCCCCCCCATCCCATCTTGGGGATCTGGGGGGCTGTGGAACCCATAGACCCATCACATCAGGCCCTCGACCCAGGATCATTTATAGGCCCCCAGTGGGCGCCGAAAACATCCTTATCCACAGCCTCTTGGGGTCTTGGGGTATATGTTTTCCTGGCTGTGGGCACGTACACTTCATTGTTTCGCACCCGTCAAGTAGTGAGGAAGCGCCCTGGATAGCATGGAGGCCATCCAAACACTTGGTTTTGATTCGCACTGTCTTAGAACAGATCTGGCTGAAACAGTAATGTTTGATGGTGCAGTCTCACGATGTGTTAACAATACGGCTTCTGCTATTGGGTCATTGCTTTGTCCCAAGCACATGTTGTGGTAGGCTTACAGGCATACCGTGACGGTCGATCCCTGCTCAGCTTGGAGGGCTACGAGGCTCATAAGCCAACCAAGCGGCAGACCCGCCCGGGTCATGAGCAGAGTTGCCACAGTGGGGCGGCTCGATATGAGTATGGTCAGGGGCTTCCATTTACGCGAGTTCATTTCAAGTCGTGCGCGCGTTGGCTGCCTCGCGGCAGGCAAACGTAGTCGCGTTTATCTTCTTTTTCTTCTTCTGCTTTTTATTATGATTGTTGATCTTATTATTCGTATTATCATTGCTAGCATTAATAATTCTACTGTTATTAGTTTATTAATATTAAGAATAATTTTACTATTATTATTATTCCCTTCTTTCCGCCCGAGGGGGGGGCCCAGCGGGGTCCGGCCGGGGGGGCCTACGCTCTAGGCCTCCTAGATGGGGTCGGAGTGGATGGGGCCGATGCGGAGCCCGATTTCCTCCACGCCGACGTCCCCGATGCATCGCCCACGTCGACGATGCATCGCCGGTGCATCGCCGATGCATGGCCGATGCGTCGCAGATGGATCGGCGATGCGGCGCGATCCCACGACCCCACGTAGTCCGACCCCATATCCAGGAGGCCTCTAGTGTGGGGTCCCCGCGCGGGGGGCCCCGGGGCGCCACCGCCGGGGGCCCGCGGCGTCGCGGGGGCCCGTCGCCGCGGGGCCACACGGGTGGCGCCAGTTGTGCGGGGGCTCGGGGGGCTGGGGGCCCGTCGCTGCGGCGCCCATCGAGGCCTCCTAGACGGGGTCGGAGTAGACGGGGTCGGAGGATCGCGCCGCATCGCCGATGCAGCGCCGATGCGGCGCGATGTGGATCCCGGCTTCCTCCACGCCGACGGGGCCGTTGTTGCCAGTGCATCGCCAATGCATCGCCGATGCATCACCGATGCATCGGCGATGCGGCGCGATCTTCCGACCCCATCGACTTCGATCCCATCTATGAGGCCTCTAGACATGCAGTGTTGAAAAATTAGAAATTGGCGCCTGCGGCGGTCTCCTTCATTTAATTTATGTTCCGTTCAGCATGTTCCAGTCAGTAACCCGTCTGGGGGGCCTGCGGCGTCGTGGGGGCCCGTCTCCGGGGGGCCTACGGGTGGCGACGGTCTTGGTCTCGCAGGGATGCAGCAACGCTCAATTTTTGGTTCCAGAATCGGCGCTTGCGGCGGGCTTTCCCATTCCATGCTGCGTTTAACTTGTCTCAGGGACCCGTCCGTGGGGGCCCGCGGCGTCGTGTGGTCGTGGGTGCCCATTGGTGGCGCCAGTCTTGGCTGTGTAGACATGCGTGTTCAAAATCTCAATTGTTGCGTTTCAGTCGGAATCAACAGATCTGCATTTCGGAGGGGGGCAGGATTTGTTTCCCGAGTTTCGGCCTCCCCCGAGGTTCGGCCTCGTTCATACGGCCAGGTGCGGCTTTTTGTTCTCCAGGCTCAGTGCCGGTCTGTTCTCGAGCGAGAGCAAGTCTACCTATCCCCGGGAAGTCTTGGGAAGGCAGGTCTGACCAAAATCTCAGCTAGGGCCCCAGACTGGGGCTCGGGAATTCGCGCGACGATCTTCGTAACCGCCCTGGCTTGGGCGCCAGTTCGGCGCATGGGATTCGTTGTCACTTGTCCGTCGGAAACGGCGTCTATCCGTGATCTCTTTCGTTCTATCGTGGCTCCGTCAGCGCCGCCAAGGCGCCGCGCGCCATGTTCCAGTTCACAGCGCGTCGCGCCGAGACCACAACAATCCCTGACTCCTATCCGTATTGCGGGGGGTATGGTAGCTGATGGTTTTCCTGGACGATTTAGTTTTGGTCGGTTTGGGGGGCCTTCCCCCTCCTCTTCCTCCTCCTCCTCCTCCTGCTCCTCCTCCTCCTCCTCCTCCTCCTCCTCCTCCTCCCTGTCCTCCTCCTCCTTACCGGTCGATCCCCCACTGTTGCGTTCCGACAAGAACGTCGACGGGGAGTCCGGCCGTGGCGGCGAGGAGCCCCCCAGAGGCCGAGAGACGACGGGAGGCTTCAAAATCCTCCCTCACACACAGGGAGCGTCCCTCCTTACGGTGAGGACGGCACAACCCACCCCCACCCCCACCCAGGGCACCCACCTCCGACCTGGTGGTCCAGGGTGCCCTGGGTAGGGGTGGGGGTGGGTTGTAAGAGCCGCGGGGCCCAAAAGCACACCCCCACCCCCACCCAGGGCACCCTGGACCACCAGGTCGGAGGTGGGTGCCCTGGGTGGGGGTGGGGGTGGGTTGTGCTGTCCTCATACGGGGTGCCCCCCCAGCTGTTGCGTTCCGACAAGAACGTCGACGGGGAGTCCCTCCGTGGCGGCGAGGAGCCCTCCCCAGAGGCCGAGAGACGAGGGGAGACTTCAAAATCCTCTCGTACTCATACACGCAGGGAGAGGGGGAGAGGACGGTGGTGGAGCCATCAGACCATTGGCCGAGAACGGCAGCCTGACGCACGACGACCTCTTCGCCAACGAGACCGTGCTGCTGCGGGGCCAGCTGTGCGCCTGGCTGCGGGAGGCGGGGGGGAGCTGCGACCCAGCGGCGTGGACGGGCGAGCGCGACGAGGCTGCGGCGGTTCGCAGCGAGCGCCCGCCCGAAAAACGGAGCCGATCGGAGGCCTCGAGATTGGCACCGGCACCAATATCGGCGGTGTGCCTCCACCGACGGAAGACGATCCCGGCCTCGGTGATGGTGGAAGTCTTCGGGCCTCCTGGGTGGCCGAAATATCACAACCAGCACCAGGATCTAAGGTCACCCTCCCTTGGTGGACGCACCCCTATGTGGGGGTGTTGGTGCCCATTGCCCAGCCTCCAGGCCGAGGCAGAGCGCGACGGGGCTCGGCCCCGAGGTCGTCATGAAGCAGGCGGGTCCTGAGGGGCACGTGGGTCCGACAGGCTTTTCGCCGTTTGGGCGCTATACTGGCCCAACGGGGTGGGAGGGCAGCGCCGACGCGAGAGCACAGGCCGTTCGATTTCGATCTCCCAGCGATCCGATTCGGCCCGATGCTTGCACGGCGCAGTCGTGAACCCCGGCGAAGCCGATGCGATTCGTTGTCGACCCAGTGCCGATGCGGCCCGATCCGCCGCGCATGTTCCGGTTTGGATCCGGTTTCCCGATGCGGCGTTGACTGGTCCTGGCCACGCGGAGCCGACTCCCCCCGCGCGGATGAAGGAGCAGCGAGGCCACCACCAGCAGACTCGCGGCGGGGCCCTGGCCGATCGAGGCCTGCGCTGGCCGGGGCCGGCCCGATCTCGAGAGGGGCCTCCTCCTCCTCCTCGGCCTGTCGGGCCGCCTCGCCCAGCGCCGAGCGGCCTCCTCCTCTCGGGTGTAGCCATGGCCCTGCTTGAGGGGAGCCCGCTGTGATTGGGCCCCCAAGATCTAAATCATTGGTTGGGATCACTCAACCAGGTCTGCCGTAGCTGGTGTTTTTCGGGTGACGGCAGTTCCGGTCCGTGGACTGCGGCGGGGGAGGGGGGGCGTCCCCCGTGACACATCATTAAACTAGGTCACACTGAACCCAGTCATGCCATCTCCCAATCCTTGGCCGCCCCTGGGTTTCAGCGCCCGGGGACGTCCTTCTCGGCCGGCCCTGGAGGCGATGGCCTGGTTCCGCCACGGCCCCGCGCGAGGCGATGGCCTTGGCGAGTGGGCGAGCGGGGGAGACGGATGTTCTCGTCGCGACACATTGGGCTCAGATCGACAGCTCGGCCGGGGGTGTGCCCTGTGGGTTGGTTGGGAGACGGGTTCTGGGTGGATCTTGGGGGGCGGAGGGGGTGGGGGGGGAAGTACGGGGAGCGACCCTCCTCCTCCTCCTCCTGCTCCTTGTGCCCATCCGTTTTCAAAGCCTGGGGATTGTGGAGTCCCTCGGTGCTCTAAAAGCGTTTTACGCTCCTTGTCCCTTCTCTTTATCATTATCCTGTTCGTCTCTCTCTCTCTCTGTCTCTGTCTCCTCACCCCCTTACGCTATACTAGTTTTCGCCCCCCCTTCTTTAATGCACTTTTAGACTGCTGTAAAAGGCTGTATAAGCTTCTACAACAGAGTCTTAGAGCTTAGAGGGCTCGGTATTTCGCCAGAGTGCTCTCGGGGACTGTCGAGTGTTTTACAGACAACGGGAGCATTTTGGAACGTCGTGGTCGTCTCAAGAATGCTCTGGGAAGCCCGGGAGGGCTCAGGCGGGCGCCACATGGACCCAGGACTGTCTCCATCGCGCTAGAGTGCGTGGGAAGGCGTGGGATGCCTCAAAGATAACGCAGGGTTGATTTGGAGGACTCTACTATGCCCAGGCGCGTTCTAGAGGGCTCCAGGAGGCTTGGGGGCGGGGGTGAGTGCTTACAGGATACCAGGCGACTAGTAGGAGCTCCAGAGGGCTATAGAATGCTGATGGGTTCCAGAAGGCTGTGATAACATTCAGAAGGCTCCAGGAGGCTCCCGAAGGTATGCGGATGCCGCACGTGGGCTTCAGAACGCCCGAGAAGGATCTGTAAGACTCGGGTGACCCTGAAGGTTTGAGAGGGCACCACAATTCTGTCGAGCGCCTGAAAGAGTTCTAGACAATCTTAAGATGCTTTTAGATGGCTCCAGACGGATCCAGGGGGCTCGAGTATCTTCGAGGAGTCAAGGTGGCTCTCAACGGCCCTGACGGTGTTAGCATGCCTGAGAGGGCCTGGACACCCTTCTGAGAGGATTACAGAGGGATGCGACAGGGAGTGCTCTAGAGTTCTCTCAAGGGCTCCAGAGGGGTCAGGCATGCTCCCGGGAGCACCAGAGGTCTCTACCGAGAGAATGTCCTGGAATGCTTGAGAGGACCCTGGGAGGATCTGGAAGGCTCGCGTGCTCCAGGGCCGCGCAAGGCACAACAATGCTTTCGAGAGCCGGAAGGACCCCAGACAGCTCATCAAAGGCTGCCAGCATTACTCAGGACGCTGCGGAAGGATGTTCTAGCGTCCCAGAGGGATCTAGACAGATCCAGAGGGCACTCGGAGGCTCTCGAATGCCTCGGGGACCCTTTTGCGGCTTCAAAAGGCTCTGAAGTGGTGTCGTGTGCATCGGGGAACTTCCAAATTTTCTCTGGGCTCCAGGAGGCATCCAACAGCCCCTCGGGTGCCCCCATGGGCTCCCGAGAGTTCTAGAGGTTCGATACATACGCCAGTGGCGCCAGAGCGCTGTGTAGGGCAATCGGCAATCGAATGTGCTAGAACGCCCGGCAAGGTGCGCGGAAGCTCCAGAGTGCCCATGGTTACAACCTGACGTTTTAGACAGCGCGACTGGGCCCTACGAAGCCCTGGGGTGCCTCAAAGGATTCTGGACAGCGAAGGGGGTCTAACATGTTCTAGAGTGTTTCGCAGGGCTGGGGGGTGCGCTGGCAGGGCAAAGCAGATTCACGGACGGAGGATGCGGAGAAGAAGGCGGACGAGGAGGAACATACGAAAAGACACGCAGGGCACGCGCGCGCACCGCCACAGGTGCATTCAGAGACGCACGCGCGAACTCGGTGCGAAAGCCTTGAGCGCACGCGCCCTCGACCCCGAAGCACGTCGTCGTCCCCCGTGCTCCCTCTCTCCGATCCCGCCTTCTCCATCCCTCCTCCTTCCTCGCGCCTCACTTCTCTCCAATCCTTCTTGTTCCTCCTGATCCTGCCCGTCTTCCCAATTCTCCTCCTATCCCTTCCTCGTTCTCCTAGTCACACTCTCTCTCTCTCTCTCGCTCTTTCCACACCTCCTCCCTCTACCCCCCCGCCTCCTGTAAGGGTAGACGTTCGTTCCTGCCTCTCCTCCTCTCGCCCTTCTTCACCCTCCTCATCCCCCTCGGCTTCCTTATCGTGTGGTCCCTCGGCCCATCCCGCCACTGATCATGGGTCGGGGACAATAGGCTTCTCAGAGGTCTCTCTGGGTTTCCTGGAAAGTCTCCTGGGGCCGCTCGGAGGCCTCTTCTGGAACAACTTCAGGGCAATTTGGAGGCCTCTTAGGAGCCTCTTGGGGGCCTCTGGGCCCTCTTGTCTTCCCAGCCTGGACGCAGTCACGGGGGCCATCTTGGGGTGTGGGGCCCCAGCGAGCACCTTCGGATTACCCCCCTTGCGGGCCTCGAGGGCTCTCGTGCGAGCCTCGGGCAGTACTGAACACTCCTAAGACAGGGAAGGCGAGTTCGCGATACTGCAACACCCGTGGCGGGTGATGAAGCACAAGCCCGCAAGCCTGACAATCTCACAATTCCACGAATCCGGGAATCTCCTCCCCCTTCTTCCAGCCTTACTTCTACTCCTCCATCCCATTCCGTCTACTTGAGTTGCTCCTCGTTGCCGCACCCCATGCATATCGGCAGGGCGGGCCGGGCGGGCCGCCTGATACTTCCTTACTGGTTATTATTCGGACGTATGGACGTTGCAGAAGTTACCAGGATAGAGCACAGGTCGCTTTCAAAATTTGGTTCTTGCGTTTTCGGCTCGCACAATCAAAGTCAAAGCTTGCAGCAGCTTGATGGAGGGGACGTGGTCTTCAAAATGTGGCTCTCGTCCTCCGCTCCGCGTACATTCGCTGTTAAAGTCTGCAGCCGCTTCAAGGATGGAGGTCGGCTCCTTTTCCAAAATTGGCTCTCGCCGTAGCACCTCGCAGATTCGTGTTAGAATTTGCAGCGGCTTCAAGGATGGAGGTTTTTTTTTCTTGAACATGTGGCTTTGCTTTGCTTCGGCGCCGCGCATATTCGTATCACAAGTTCGCAACGGTTCACAATATTGCTCTCGCCTATGCCCCACGCGCGTTTATAATACCATGTTTGGGGCAGTTACACGAAGGGAAGGTGGGTCGTTTTCAAAGTGGTGTTCTCGCCTGGTCGACGCGAACTGGGCGGTTTCTGCTCAAATTGGTGCTGTTGCTTTCGCGTCGCGCTCATTCGGCTCAACATCTTGCAACATGTGCGAGGATTGAGCGCAGGTCATGTTCAAATCGGTGTTCTCGGCTTTGTGCGGCGCACGCTTGTTTTCTACAGAACATTCAGAGAGCTCGCTGGCCCTTCTTTTTCCAAATGAGGTTCTCGCTCGGTACGTCGTTCACTGTGGATACCCAGAATTCCAATACATGTAACATTGCATGGATGCAGGGAGGCTCATTGCCAACATGAAGTTGCCGTTCGGAAGTATACCGAAATGTTCGACCATACGTGCAACTTTGCGCAACAATTGCGTGCATGGGAGCTGCTCCTTCTTTCAAAGGGGGTCTCGTGGGCCTTTTAGAAGGGTGCAAGGCAGTTCCTTTCCAAAGCGAGGCCCTCGCCAAGATGGCAGGCCCAGTTGCCTTAGTCCTGGTCTCTGAAGGGGGGGGGGCGCTGCTTGCAGTGAAACGGCAAGCCTGCCAGGAGACACGAGGAGGGGATTCTGGACGGGAGCGTGCGTTGCAGCAGCGTCGACGCATTTTCGGTTGGTTCTGGTCCACCTTCTAACCCTCCTCCATGTGGACGTTCGTCCCTCCTCCTATTCCTCCTCCCTTTCTCTTCCACATCCTCCTCCCCCCCCGTTTTCTTGCAAGCCACTCATCATCGCACCAGCAGGCGGGTCGGTGAGGCGGACTGGGCGTTTCGCCTGGGACTCATTCACCACTTGTGATTTTGAATGCCGCCTGTCCTGACAGCTACACGGCTGGAGGGCGAACGGTGCTCAATTTCTGGTTCTCGTCTTAACGACGCGCACGGTCGCCTAGAAGGTTCCACCGGTTACACGGTTGGAGGGCGGGCGATGTTCAAAGTCTTGTGTTCACCGTTGGGCCGCGCACATTCAACGGTGAAGTGTTGTACAGTTGTGCGCGGATGGAGGTCGACGCCTTTCCAAAAGTGGTTTTCGTTGTCGCGTCTTCGAATTGTATGGCCAGCAATAACGTCCAATAATATCACGGACGGTCTTCGGCTCTTTTCAAATTTGGATTCTTGGTGGATCTGTCTTCAAATGTTTTGACCAAGCAATGTACTGGCGCAGATATGGAACATATGGTGGGTCCCCGTCGCATGCAGGTTTTTTTTTGAATTGAGTGACACTTGTCCTGTTCGCGCGTCTTGCAAGGCCAGACTGGAGGGCGGATCTTCCTCCAATCCAAACTGGAGATATCGCGTGGGGCGCTCGCGTTGTTCCAGGGGGCCGTCTTGCGGCGGGGAGATCTTAACGTAGGGACGTAATGGGGGCTCGAGACGGGATGTTGTAGAGCAGCATCGTTGGCGTATCTTGGGTCTATTCTGGTCCTCCTGCATCCTCGTCCTCGTCCTCCTCATCCTCATCCTCATCCTCCTCCCCTATTTCCCTCCTCCTCTACCGCTCCTCTCCGCCTTTGTACTCCCCCTCCCCCGCCTTTTGTTCTCCTCCTCTTGCCTCGACGTCGACCTTCTTCTCGGCGCGGTCCAAAAGGATTCCGAATCGAACCTAGCCGTACCGACAAAGGGCCAGAAACAAAAAGAAATCCACACAAGTCAAATTCTTAATTTCTTTCTCCCTCCCGCCCTTCCTCCCTTCTCCTCCTCCCTGCTCTCCCTGTCGCCCATCCCTCCTCCCCTCCCTTCTCCTCCCCCCACTTCGACTCCGACGACGACCATGACCACCACTGCAACGAACATGACCGCGCCCACGACCAAGACGACGACGGAGACGACGAACGCGACGACGACGACGACGACGACGACGACGACTACGACGACGACGAAGACGATGGCGACTACGACCACCACGACCACGAGCACGACGACTCCCAGAGTCCCTAAACAGGCAGAAGCATGTAGTTCTAGAGCGGCACGCAGCTTCGTTTAGAAGAAAAGACCTGTCCTCGTACCTCGATTCGAACCTCGACCCTCGAGGAGGGAGGACAAGGAGGAGGGTGGGGGTGGAGGGAGAGGAGATAAGGCGAGAGTAGAAGAGCACCCAGGGTGGGGATGAGGAGGTGGGAGGAGAGGGGAGGGGAGAGGAGCAAGGAGGAGATGGGGGAAAGGCGGGGAACGTGGGAGAGGGGCGAGGAAGAGAGGAAGGGGGAGGAGCGCGAAAGAGAGGAAGGGGGAGGAGGGGCGAGGAGGAGAGAGCAGAGAAGGGAGGGCACGGGCAGAGGAGGGAGAGGAGGGAGAGACAGAGGGAGGGAGGGAAGGGGGAGACCCCGCGGCCCCCCCCCGCCTGGAGCGCCGCAGGTCCGCGTCGAGCACCGCGAGACCGCCGAGGCCCGGGGGCCGCCCGCCCGGTGAAACGCGCCGCCTGGCCTGCGGGGGCCGGCCGGCGGCCTTCGGCAGACGGCACGTGTGCACCACCGCCCGGAGCTGCCTCGATGCGCCCGTGCTGGTGCAGCCGGGCCGAGGCGTGTAAGATCGAGGTCGGTTCGGGGTGGGCACCTTCGTGTTCTGCGTGTCTGTCGGGCGCTCGTGTGCACCCTGGGGAGGGTACCCTTGGATGCTCCCTGTGTTTTGGCTGGCGGAGGGTCTCGTGATCTTGAGGGATGCTCTTCTGGCCTAGGTCCGACTGTACCCGACACGTACCGTGCTCAAAACGTCCGTGTCAAGACGTTCCGTGTTGGCTCAACGTATTGGCCCACGTTTTGGCGAATGTATCGCGTCAGACCCATGTTTTCAGTCTATGTGTAGAGTTCGATATCGAGACGTTGCGTGTTGCGTGTTTCGTATCGGGGCAGCTCAGGTCAGGGGACACGTTGGGGCGGAAACGTTTCGGGTTTCGATTCAAAGCTCGAGGAGGAGGAGGAAATACCCATGCAGCTACCTTTCCTTCGTTTTCGCCTGTTTGGGCCTCCTGGGAGGCCCTCGTCGCCACCGCTGGATTCGCCTTGAAGTTCTGGTCAGAGGGCACCCCGGGAGAGGTCTGGGGAGTAGTGGTTACTTCGAGTTCTGGGTTCGATGCCCGAGGTTTGCGGGCGTTTCCGTCGCTTCTCGTCGGTTCTTCAGCCTCGGGATGCTTTCCAGCAGCTGCGCCTCGCCGAGAGCTTTCCGGGGGTGCCCGGCCTGTCCCGAACGGCCGTCAGGGAGCCGAGTTAGGACCCGCAAGCGAGGGGGCAGCGTGATTGGAGGACGGGCTCAGGGTTGGCCGCACCGACCCCCGATGGCCCATTGATGGCTGCCCGGGGGCCCGATGCGCCACCCCGCCCAGGAGCATGCGGTGCACACGCCCCAGGGCCCAGGATGGTTCTCGTCAGGATCGGCGGTGGTGTGTCGGGTCCTTCTGCGTGCGGTCCCCTCCGGGTCCTGCATAGGGGGGTGGGCAGGGAGGCAGGGAAGTGTCTCATTGCTGAGGAGGAGGGAGGAGAAGCTGGTTGATGTTGATGCTATCGATAAGACGATGATGGTGATGACGATGGTGATGGCAGTGACGATGATAGTGGTGATAGTTGTGGTGACGATGTTGGCGATGATGATGGTGATGATGAGGATGACCAGAAGCACGGTGGTGGTGATGATGATGGGGAGGACGAGGGATAGGATGAGAGGATGATGATGATGATGATGATGATGATGATGATGATGATGATGATGATGATGATGATGATGATGATAATGATGTTGGTGGTGATGTTGATGATGAGGATGCTGGTGATGATGATGATGCTGATGTTGTTGATGGTGATGATGCTGTTGAGGACGATGCGGCTGATTATTGTGATGGTTATGATAACTAAGGTGATGATACTGATGTTGATGATGATGGTGACGACAGATGCTGGATTATGATGGACGGTGGTGATGGGCAATGGGTGGTAGTGCTGGTGATGATGTAACCCATGGTGGGATGATGAGGAAAGGTGCAGGGTGGGCATCAGAGAAGGAGGAGAGTCCGTACGCAGAGCGTATCGGTGGTTTTGTCGGTGAGGGAGGCTTCTGAAAGGCGTCGCATCCTCATGTTCCCTTCCCCACAGAGTCACGGACGACAGCGTCCCCCCTACCCCCCTCCCTCCTCATTTCTCTCTCTTCTGTCCCTCATACACCTGTTCTTCATCTGTTTCGTTCCTCCCTCTTTACTCCTCACACTTGTTGGCCTCAAGAGGGCGTCAAGACGGCACAAGATATCCCCACGACGGCTTTGGGGAGAGCCCAAGGTGGCCGCACCACACTTATGGCCCAAGTCCGTAGCCGTTCTGGCTCGAGCCATGTGGGCTCTAGTACTGTGATTGCTCTACACTGGGGGCGCGCATCAAGGAACCATCTGCTTCTCGTCAGGGTGCCCTGGGTTTCTTCGCTCCTCACGCTGCGCGGTGACTTCCCGCGGCCGTTGAAGAAGCTGCTGCGTTCAGGGTGCCCTGGGACCCCCCCCCCAGTCACACCTCTCGCGCGGGTCTTCAGGGCTGGGCTTCTAGCGGCGGTTTCGACGGTTTCTTGCGGCCGCGCCCGCACTGCACCGTACCCTCGCTTGCGCTCTGCTCGACGTTCGATGCGCACGTTCTTGACCCGGCCGTGAGCACACGCGATGCCCTCGACGTGCCTGCTCCTGCCCTTCTGCTGCGCCGCGGGCGTGGGTGCCCTGCAGGTGCTGGAGGACACCCGCGAGCACCCGCTGCCGAGAGGAGGCATCGACCGGCAGGATTCGGATCACCCCGTCGTGGGCGCGAATTACTGGGGGGGCGATCGCTGGGGCGCTCCAGAAAGGGCCTTGCCTTCGAGGATCGAAGGAGTCGGCCTCTCTTCCGCGGCGGAAGGTCGGCGGAAGGCCTTGGAAGTAAAGCTGCGGCGGCTCCGCCGGCGGAAGGTGGCGGAAGCGCGGCGGAAGCTGGCGGAAGCGAAGGTCGACCCTCCAAGACATGACAACATTTTTTGGCCCTTCGTTTCCGGATGTTTCCGGAACCCGCCAAATGACCCGCCACACGGGGGGGAGAACGGTGCCCTTCTCGGGTCCTGAAGGCCCCCTTCTGGGGCCCTGTATGGCCCCTTGAGGGGGCCTGTAGAGGGCCCATTTTCTGCAGCCCTCGCGGCCCCCCCCCCCATTCCTTCGCGCCCACTTGGCCTGGCCCCAGCACCGAAAGAGGAGGTCGGCAGTGCCAGCCGACGCTGGCGGTCGGGGAGCAAGCACTGGAATAAGCATAACAACTCCGAGGTCCGCGCAGAGCTCTCGGATCGGCGCTGGAGCCCCCCCCCTGGGCGGCGCCTCCGGCGCCGCCCCTGGCGCGCTCCGCGCGCCAGGGAGGGGCGTGCAGCGCGGATCTGACCTCTGAGTTTTGATGTTTGTGTCACTGCTTGCTTCCTTGGCACCGAGAGAAGAGGTCGACAGTAGCTGGCGTGCGCCGCCACGCCTGCCACCCTCGCCGTCCAGTGGGCACGAGCCAGTCGCCCCCGAGCCCGAGCCGTTCGCTCCCGAGCCTGCCGATGCCAGGGCCGTCCTGCTGTTCGGCTGCTCGCTGGACAATTACGCAGTTGTGGACTTCTGTTCCCAAGGACGAAAGCTGGATACTTACAAGGTAGACAGCTTCTCGCATTCCAACTGGTGTTTCGACAGGTCCCTCAACGTAAAGATTGGTGCCATGTTCCACCCTGGCGTGGGGTACAAGGGGGACCTGGAGTACCCGTTCTGGCATTACTGGGGATCACCTTTGAGCGTTATCTCGGGCGCGGGGAACTATTCAACGAAGACGCTACTGGATAAGTACGCGATCAATTTCTCGCAAAGCATGTTCCAACGCGAGCCCGACATGGTGGTGGTAGATAGCTCCCTGTGGGACTTGGCCGTGTGGCAGCAAGAGGACGGCGACGACGAACGAGCGGAGCTGCCCCAGGAGCGCGTCCAGCAGTGGTGCCAGCACGACCTGCCCGGCCTGATGGCAACGGTCTCCAGAACCTTCCCGGACAGCCGAGTCGCCTTCCGTACTGCCCCAGAGTGCCTTACGTGTTCCATCAAGTTGATGGGTTTCGCCTGCAGCCGCCCACCCCCCTTGCCGATTCAGAGAACTTTTGGAGATCTGGCTGCGCCTCTGGCGCCGCCCCTGGCCCGCTCCGCGCGCCAGGCAGGGGGTTCCAGTGCCAAATCAAGAAGGTCAACGCAGGCATTCGGAAGTTTATGTTTCTGCTTTTTCTGGTATTCTGTCTCTACCGCCACCCTCCCTGCATGACTGGGTCGATTGTGTTGCTCTTTGCTAATAGGTTCATTGGTTGGCAGTCTGGCAGCTCGGCTGGTTGGCTGGCTGTCTGGTCAGATGGTTGGCAGGTTGGTCGGCTGATTGGTTGGCTGATGGGCTGGTTAGCACGCGTGCTGGCTAGGCAGAAGGCTGGAAGTGTGGCTTGCGCGTTCGGAGCGAGGACATCGGTATCGGGACCTCGTAGGCACAGATATTCATCGTTTATTTTACCAGGGGTCATGGCCTCGAATGTGCGGATCCATGGCTTGTTACAAGGCATCCTGGCCTTGAAGGTGCTGACCCGCGGCCCTTTTTTGTGGGGCATGACCCCGACGGCCCAGACCCACTGTCTGCTATGCGAGGGCGGTGGCTTCGCAAGCGCGAGTAACGTCGTGTTCTTGTTGCGCAGGGGTCCTGACCTCACAGGCGCAGGTATCGGTTGTTTTGCGAGGGATCGTGGCCTCGAATGCGCGCAGCCACCCGTTGTTTGCGCGGGGCTGTGGGCCCGAAGCGTGGATAAATCGCTTCGTTTGCAAGTAAGCGTGGCCCCGAAGACGCAGATCCAGTTTTCTGATTTGGCCTCGCGGGGGCGGGTCCAGTTTTTCGTTTTTGGGGGAGGGGGGGGGCATGGCCGCGGGAAAGATCGGGAACGCACATCCGTAGTTTTGTCCGAGGGATAGTGGGTTTCAAAGACGCGGGTCTTTGTTTTGCAAGGCGATATGGCCCTGGCTTTGCGGACCCAGTGCTTGCTGCGAAGTATCGTGGTATATACAAGGAGCGCAGCTCTATGGTTTTTCTACGTCCAAGGATAAGCCATATTCACAGGAGACGTAATTGGGGCAAGGAGGAGGTACGATTTTGGGCCGTGGGAGGAGGTCGCGCGTTGTCTGAAATTTAGAACTGCACGTCTGTAAGAATTCAGCACTCCTGTGCCCTGAGTTCAGAGCGACAATGCGACGTTGTGCACAGTTTCATAGCAAGGCTTAACACTAGCTGCTCTTTTGCTGGAGTCGAGTATTTGCATCCTGGTGGCCCCCACAAGTTGCGCCGGAGGATAAGTTCACAAACCGCATGATCGAGCAACTACATGAATGCATCACGCAGTCCACGAGGAGAGGGAAGCTGTTCGGCATGTACGATATCATCGATTTACGTGGCCTCATGCAGAATCTGAGCGCTGGCGCATACCGTGAGTATGCTTACCGAGAGGACGGCTACCATCAGAGCAAGTACGCCTCACTACTCTACTTGAATGAAGTTTTCCGGCACCTGCGAGAGAAATGGTAGAGAGATGTGGAGGACGACGAGTACACGGAGCGGTTCGAGACCGCCGTCTATGTCGACAGCGCGCTCCTGGGAAAAGTGGTGGAGGTGGAGAGGGCGAGGATGAGGCATACGAAAAAGACATAAACAGTGCATAAACATAGATGCCTGGCTCTCCGCGCGGATTTCTTGGATCGGCGTTGTCCCCCCCTTGGCGCGCTCCACCCCTGGCGCGCTCCACGCGCTATGGAGGGGGTTCCAGCGCCGATCCAAGAAATCCGAGCTTCTGGTTATGCTGACTCCAGTCTGATTCAGGTTCGACTCAGTTCGACTCAAGCTTGATTCAGGTTCGGTTCAGGTTCGACTCAGGTTCGCTTCAGGCTCGACTCGAGTCGACGGACGTTCGACGCAGCTTCGGCGCACGAGTGGAGCGAGTGGCTCCAAGAAGGTCCCCAGAATGAGCATCCGACATGGACTTGTCTCACCATTGCTCCCATCATTCCGTCACCGCGGCTGGCACGCGCGCACCGCAAGGCACCCCCGGGATGACACCGTGCCGCTGCCCCCCCCCTTCCCAGGGGCGCAGCGGGGTGGGAGCGACAGTTGCGCACCTCTGCGCACCACCCAGGGGCGGAGCCGGGACGAGGCAGCCAGCGGTGAAGAGGAATCCAGTAGGTGGTCGTTTTCTTTTTCATTGTTTTGCCGATCGGCGCGGGCCCTCGCACCCTCTCCCCCCCCAATGGAGTGGATCTTGGCTGTTTGGGCGCCTGTTTTAAGCAGGTGGAGTCTCCTCCAGAGGGCGCACTGCTGCAAACAGTCGCACTAATTAAGCAGAGGTCCGGAGCCCCCCTCCTCCCCCTTCCGCCCAATGGGTTCGCGTCATGTCGACTGGCGGCGACCCCGCCGCCGGCGTTCAACGTTGAAACTGGGGGGCGGCCTAGCATCGGTCGATGCTGTGAACGATCTGATATTTCGAAAACGCCCGATGGTTCAAGGTTGAAGCATCCCCGCGGTGTCAGGAACCAACGCTGGGGTCGACACGACACTAACCTGCCGTAGGCGACCACAACGAAGCTCACGACGCAGAGGAGGAAAAGGTACCCTTACCTCTACCCTTCGCCCGTTTTCCCTCTTTTGGGCCTCCTGGGAGGCCCCCGTCGTCACCGCAGGATTCGCCTCGAAGTCCTGGTCAGAACGCACCCCGGGAGAGGTCCGGCCAGGGAGTAGCCGTATCGGTACCTGTTGGTCTCCCCAACGGCCTCGGCGACGGCGGCTGCGGCGACGGCGACGGCGACGGCGACTCTGAGCGGCGACGGCGACGTCCGCAGCGTCGGCGGCTACGTCCGCGGCGACGACGACGGCCGTGGCGGCCGTCGCGGTGCGGGGCGCCGGGGCGGGCGAGGCGGTGCGGGCGCTGCTGGCGGCCCTGGAGGCCACGCCGCAGAACCCGCCGCGCAAGCGGCTAAAGGCCCGCCGCCCGGCGCCGATGGGTGACGATGGCCGCCGCCGCCGCCGCCCGCCGTCGCCGTCGCGCGTTCGTGCTCAGACGTCCAACGTCTCGGACACATCGGGGCGGTCATGTCCTGTTCAGCTTGCGGTGGAGATCCATGCCAAGAAACACCCTGCCGTCCTCCATGGTGCTCCGGGTTTCGTGGGCTTCGATGGTTTTGCGATGGGAACTGTGACGTCCCCACATCAAAAATCAATGGTCAATGGACGTCCTGGGCTCTCACGGTTGGATTTCTTGTGGGAGGTTTCTTGTGGTCGAGCTCCGACTGTAGTTGCCCTGATACGCCTGTCTTGAAACGCAACACGTGCCGTGTTCAAAACGTGCGTGTCAGCACGCTGCATGTTGTCGGCTCTGCACGTGTTGGCTTACGGTTTGGTGAGAGTTTCGCGCCAGACCGACGTTTTTTTGAGTCTACGCGTTGGGCTCCGTGTCAACACGCGACGTGTTGCGTGCTGCGCGTCGAGGCAGCTGAGCTCCTGAGGTCTCGGGCCCTGGAGGCGGGCTTCGGGTCCCGGGGCCGTCAGAAAACGATTCGGGGTGACAAAGTGTCGGGGGCCCCCCACCAGGGTGGTGACCACCCCGTGTGGTGAGTCGGTGGGGATTCGGGGTCACCGCAGGGTTTTGGGACTTGGGTCGCTCTCCGAGGATGTCTCGGGCGACTGGAGCCTCCAGGGTCCCCAAAACCGTGCGGTGACGGACCGTGCGGTGAGGTCTTTGTGAATTTCGAGGTCACCGTCGGGTCTGTCACCACGGTCTTGGGACCCCCAAAAAGTGGCCCCGGGGAAGTGGTTGAGATGTCCGACGGCCCACGTCAGGGCCAACGATAGGGGGGCATAGGCATAGGGGGGGGGGGATGCATCGACCCCCAAGCGCCCAGTGATCGCCGATCGGGGTTTCACTATCGGGAGCCTCTCGCCGATCTGTCGACGATGTATCGTCGATTCCAGGTCGGTGCATCGCCCCCTGTGCCAGCCCCCCCCCCTTATCGCTGCCTCTCACCGCGGCCGGAGACAGCGAGAGCCCCAGATGTCTGCCAGGCCGACGGATATCCTCCGTCGTCGCTGGCATGCGGCCCTCCGCGGTGCCCCCGGATCGCGGGCGCCGGCGGGGGGACTTGGCTCCGGGTGGGGCCAGCATCGGCCCTCTGCCCGTGCATCGCCACTTGGGGCCTGGGCCCCCCAGCCTGCCCAGGAAGGTGCTGGTTTCGCCATCGGGGCACACCACCGTCTGTCGGCGATGCATCGCCGACTCCAGGTCATCGTCTGCCCCCCTGAGCCCCCCTTGGTGGACCCCCCTTTCAAGGAGCCGGAGCCCACGTCGCATAGCCCACCATGCAAGCGGCCGAAGGCCAACCGTCCGTCGTCGCCGCCGCCGACCGACGCGCTTCTCGATCTTCTCCAAAAAACTGCCCCCAGGGCCGCTCGAGAAGGGATGTGGGCTACCCTCGGTCACCTTCCACTCCTCGTCTCGTCTCCTCCTACCTCCCCCCCTTTCTCGCTCTCCCTCCTTCCCGCACATGCCCTCCTCCTGCGCCCTCATATCCTTGTACGGTTACTTGACAGTTTCGCAGTATGAGTACTAAGATCCTCTCTCCTCTGTCTCTGTTGGGGAGACATCCGGCCCTCTCCGCGTAATGATTTCTCACACAGGGACTCAAACATTTGCATGTCCTATGTTTTTTTCCCGATTGGAGCGTGTTCGGTGTCTCAAAATGATGCTGTTGGTGCAGTGCTGGGTTCAATTTACGATCGTCGCTTTGCCTCCGTCGATCAGAACGGCGCTCTCGCCCCAGAGCGGGCCACATTTCTGGATCCGAGTCCGTCCTTCTTGTCGTCGCCCCCCTCCTTTTTCCCTCTTCTCCTCCCCTGCTCCTCCCGTCCCTCCCGCTCCGTCCGTTCCAGTTCAGACCCAGGGACGGGGGGGGGAGGTAAAAAAAAGTAAGCCTCCTGGAAGGGAAGAGGGGAGAGGTGAAGCCCTGTGTGCCAACACGAGTGTGTATCCTCTTCCCTGCCCGATGTCTGTGGCCATTTGGGCTCTTGCGATCGGCCGTTTCTGAGTAACCACCCACGGCCACCCTGTGGCATCAAGTTCCTGGGAGTGGCAGGTGCCTTGCGTAATCACAGGGCTCCCCTGCACCTTTAAGTTACCCGTAGAAGGGGGATCACCGTCACCTCACTCTTCTCCTTTTACGGTTATCGCACCGCTTTTGGTGCTCATCGATGATACATATTTGTATTCGCGGCCTCGCGGGCCGGGCCCCTGGGCCGCCACCCTGGGGATATGGTGCGTTTTTTCGCGGATGTTCCGAGCGGGACGTATCCGTGTGACCGCTTATCCGCGGGATCGCGCCCCAGGATCCAGACCCCGAGGGCGCGGATGCGGATATGCTCGCCGTTCGTGAGGGGTGGGGGGGGGCGAGAGGCCGGGATCGCGCTCGGTTCCCCCGCCCAGGTGCCCCCACCGGCACCAGCCAGGGGGGGGGGGGGAAGCGTAAAAGAGAGCGACCCTTCGCTGGAGAGACCCTCGGTGCGGGGCCACATGGGGTCCCCCAGCGCTTGGCCTGCGCGCTTGGATCTGGCCTCCCCGTGGCCCCCGACTCCTGCCAGAGGCCACTCCTGCGGTGGAGCGAGTCAGGGGGAGGCTCTCCGGAGAAGCCTCCGGAGCCTCCTGCGGGTCCTGGAGGGCCTCGGGGGGGTCCTCGGTCTGAGGGTCGCCGAGGTTCTACAATTACTCAATATGAATACTACTCTCCCTCTTCCCCCGATGGCGGCCTGAAAGTAGCCGACCCCCCCCCGCGTCCTGCTTTTTTACACACAGGATTCCCGGGAGTTGGGTTTTCGCTTGCATTTTTTTCCAAATGCTGCTCTCGCCGAGGCGCCGGCCTCATTTTCGGGCCCCGCTCGATCTGAATCGTGCTCCCGCTGCAGCGCTGGCCTCATTTCCGTGCTTCCGCTCGTTCCGAATCGTGCTCCCGCTGCAGCGCTGGCCTCATTTCCGCGCTTCCGCCCGTTTCGACTCGTGCTCCCGCTGCAGCGCTGGCGTCATTTCCCGTGCCATGCCACAGCACACGCGCACACACGCACACACACACACACACACCACCACACACCACCACCACCACCACCCACCACCACCACCACCACCACCACCACCACCACCACCACCACCACCACACCACAACCACGCACACACGCACGCACGCACGCACGCGCACCACCACCCATTAGTCCGCGGATAGAGAAAATCAGCGCCATGGTAAGGGATGGGAGGGAGGGGTAGGACGTCAGATATGACGCGCGCGCACCTAGCTTGGCCCCTCCCCCTCCCCTGCCTCCGCGGCGCCGGTCCCGAGGCGATGACCATCTTGATGGAGCTGGTCCCCCACCGCGCACGGCGTCGGGCGGCGAAGCAAGCAGCTGGGGGTCCAGGCATCCAGCGTCTTGGAGAAGTCAAGGCGGGGGTGGTTCTCGTTTTCGGGCTCCGTGGGCCCTCGCTGGGCCCCCAGGGCCGTCAAGCAGCCACTCAGGATGAAAAGGCGGCCGCGGGGGAAGTGTCGGGATTTCCAGGAACACCGCTTTGAACGAGTCAAGTCGTCGGATGTCCAGGGGGAGTGTGGAAATGGGAGGGGGCGGGCGTTTCAGCTTTC